TCAGATTCCCACTATATCTTTCAGCTTTCGTGAAAGCAAACATCTCAACTCCCGCCAAGAGCGACGCGAAGCCCCGCCGAGATTCAAACACATCTCGATACACCGCATAAACCTATGTATAAATACGAACGTAAATTTTGTTCCCTTTCTTAGTGGTGGTGGTGGTGGTTGCGGGGGGGGGGGCTGTTCAACGCCGTTCTTTCAACAACAATTTAATGGACTGCTGGGGGGACCCAGTCAGCGTAGACTCAAACACCAACCTTAGAAGTCTGTCTGTTGTCGGTTCGGTAAAGATAAACAGATATTGGAACTCGGTGATTACCGACAGCTTGCCTCAAGGACACTACCGGATATTGTATACTAAAGGTCAAAGGGAACTTCCGTTTCTTTAACTGATTTTCTGCACATGTTTTCGGAAACATCAATGGTCTATTCTGCGTGTGTCAATCGCTCCAGTATTCTATAAAGTAGTGTTACATGATAAAAGGTCATATGAAATAATAATACTGCAGACTGTTTTCTCGTCGTAGCAGCGTATCAGTGGAAGGCCTAATTAAGGGTGACAGAAGAAAGGTATGGGAACCCAAATTATTTGTGCAGGCCAACTAGAAATCGCAGAGCAGGCAAAAATAAATAAATAAATATCTATATATAAGTATTATAGGTATCGGAGAGCCGAGTTCGAATTCCAGTCGAATCCATTACATTCACTTACGTGCTAACACCCTTGGGAAAGGTGTGAATCCTCTTTCTTCTCTTTATGGGTAAATAGCAGGACAGACTGGGTTCTATAGCCTTGGATGGCAACTGGTCTAGGAGAAGGAAAACTCTGAATTCAAAACCTGCAGAGGGTGAATGGAGTCTCTCTGAGCCTTGGTTGGCAATCCATTTAGTGATGGTGTCACGATAAAAACACCCTTGATAGCCCTAGGGAAGCATCAAGAATTCAGCTATTTGACAAGATTATGAACTACACCAATCAAGGTATTAGTGAGTTCAATCTCGGCAGAGGCCGCAAGATGATGATAGGTATTACTTTTTCTGCGTTGTACACATGCCCCCCCCCTCGAAATACGCAAACTTATTACATGAAGGAATAATTTGTTCGCACCTTTTAAATAAATGGCTTTGAGTTTATTTGTACGCCGTTCGTTGTGAGGAATCTGACAATGACATTTGTTAACAGTTCGATTGGGAAAAATAAAACGTGTTAGGGTCAATGAGCAGTGTCTCGCAATAATTATTTGACCAATTCTTGACTTAATCAGGAACTCCAAGGACAAATGGATTTTGTACAAAAAGGGAAATATCTAGCATTTCAGTATATCATTAAATATTTACTTAGTTTAACTTAATCACGTTTAATGGGAAAAAGAGGAAGATTGTTTTGCGCCAGTTTTTCGGTGGGAGTAAAATTTCTTTGCGAGAATTATAGGACAGGAAAGAAGATTGTGTCCTGCGAATTTTACGATTGGAAGGAAGATTGATTTGTGCCGTTTTTGGGGTATGAAGGAAGATTGATTTGTGCTTCTTTTGGGGTATGAAGGAAGATTGATTTGTGCTATTTTGGGGGTATGAAGGAAGATTGAATTGTGCCATTTTTGGGGTTATGAAGGAAGATTGATTTGTGCCATTTTTGGGGTATGAAGGAAGATTCATTTGTGCCATTTTTGGGGTATGAAGGAAGATTGATTTGTGCCATTTTTGGGGGTATGAAGGAAGATTGATTTGTGCCATTTCTGGGGTATGAAGAAAGATTGATTTGTGCCAAATTTAGTGGGGGAAAATTTATTTTGTCAATTTTTGAATGAGAAGGAAGATTGATTCGCGTCAATTTTAGGAGATGAGAGAAGATTGATTTGCGCTAATGTCATGATATGAAAGAAGAGTGTTTTGCGCCAATTCTTTGTTATAAAGGAAGATTGATTTGCGCCAAATTTATGATATGAAAGAAGATTGATTTGAGCCAGTTTCAGGGTATGGTGGAAGATTGATTTGCGCCAATTCTAGTGTATGAAGAAAGATTGATTTGTACCAAATTTAGTGTGGGCAAAATTTCCTTCTGTCACTGTTTGAATGAGAAGGAAGATTGATTTTGGCCAATTTTTGAGTGGGAATGAAGATTAATTTGTACCAATTTTAGGAGATAAAAGAAGATTAATTTGTGCCAATTTTAGGAGATAAAAGAAGATTGATTTGTGCCAATTTTAGGAGATAAAAGAAGATTGATTTGGGCCAATTTTTGAGTGGGAATGAAGATTGATTTGTACCAATTTTAGGAGATAAAAGAAGATTGATTTGTGCCAATTTTTGAGTGGGAATGAAGATTGATTTGTACCAATTTTAGAAGATAAAAGAAGATTGATTTGTGCCAATTTTAGGAGATAAAAGAAGATTGATTTGGGCCAATTTTTGAGTGGGAATGAAGATTAATTTGTACCAATTTTAGGAGATAAAAGAAGATTGATTTGTGCCAATTTTAGGAGATAAAAGAAGATTGATTTGGGCCAATTTTTGAGTGGGAATGAAGATTGATTTGCGCCAATTTTAGAATATGAAAGAAGAGTGGTTTGCGTCAATTCTAGTGTATGAAGGAAGACTGATTTGCGCCAATTCTAGGGTATGAATAAAGATTGATTTTGCACCAAATTATCGCGCTAGGTTATAGCTATAGGTTAAATAAATCTGGTGTAAAGATACACCCTTGTCTTACTCCCCTTCCTGTTAGTTGTGTGCTTGACAATTTCTTTTCTAGCCATGTGGAGTGGATTTGCTCCCAGCACAATCTATCTGTGACTTCCGTTAGTCCGTCCGTCGCTCACGTCCTTTAAAATAGCCATACATTAACCAATCGAAACCAGATTTTAGGTTTGAAGTGCAAAACAGGTAAACGGGGTCCAAAGAACAGTATTCATTTTTTTTTACACTATTTACATTATTCGAACTATTGTCCGCATCTTTGTCGCCGTATTTATTACAACGTTTCGACTGTTGTACGCTCCGGTCTTCTTCAGGTGGTTGGAATGTCGAACTGAACCCTTTATTTCGCTCACTGGGGTAAACTGTTCTAGTTCCACGTGCCATGTCTAATGGGTGTCAATTATCAGTTATCTCCTGCTTAATTCCCCTCTCCAAGTTTTCCACCGTCTTAACCGGGTATTGAACTCACACTCATTGGCCCCTGTCACTAGGTCTAACTAACGCCTTTATCCACTGATCTAACGCCTTTATCCACTGTGCCATGTGCCCTTGAGGACACATGGCACAGTGGATAAAGGCGTTAGTTAGATCCTGTGACAGGGGCCAAAGAGTGTGAGTTCAATACCCGGTTAAGGCGGTGGAAAACTTGGAGAGGGAATAAACCATTGACGTTTATTGATTACATATTCGATACCAAGGGTAGAGAGTATCTATGTCATCTAGACCAAAACAAAAGCAAAAAAAAAAAAAATAAATAAAATAAAATCCCTTGGGAAAGGTAGGAATCCTTTTCTTTTCCCCCCTCCCCAGCTATGGGTAAATAGCAGGACTGACCGGGTTTTACAGCCTTGGATGGCAACTGGTCTACCGTAGAAAGAAATGGCAACCTACTGCTGGAAAAAAAGCTGCATCATTAGTCATGTATCGAAAGATACATGATCGCCTAAGCGTGTATCACGCATGGCACATAACTGACTGACCAAGGAAGTCCCTTGAAAAGATGGGGTAAAATATGCTTGCTCGTGTTTTATCATGGTCAGTTGATGGGGTTCCGCTATGGCGGTACTTTACACAAGGGAATTAATCAAGACTTCTCGGTAGCAGAGTAAGACCGGACGTTTTATGGGAGCTCACTAATGGAGAAGTAAACCGACTCTTTTTCCTCTGCTAGTTTGGGGTGAGACCTTCAGCAAGTCTTAACAAACACTAAGCACCTCGTGCCAGGGATACGGTGAAGCCAGTGGCAGCAGGCTGGTGGATCGCAGTTGCTGAGCACTGTCTGCATCAGAGAGTTTAGTCAGCACTGCTCCATCCGGCTGGCGGATGATATTCTCACGCAGAATCAACGGTTGGCGATTTCCTCGTGCAGTTAGGGTGCTACTGCGGGACATTTGGCTAATACCTCCATTGTATTGCTCCGGCTTTCCATAGGATAAGGCGTTAGTCAAACTAAGGAATGCAGCTGTTGGTATCGGACAACAGTAAGGCACGATAATAAAGCGCAAACAAGGAGGAGGTGTCCTTCGTAATGGAGCAAATGCCCGTCATAGGATTCAAACCGCCGGACACAGACGGACTTGTGTATTCGTCGAATACAACGTGCAATCAATGATGACGATGTAATCTTACTGGTTACAGCCAGTGTATTTTTATTTTGAACCACCACATCACTTCAGGACGTATACGATCACAGCTCTCCACGGCTTCCTATTCATATTACCTGTGAATTGCCACGACTTCTTGGGGAAATAGGGCAGCGTTTTTCCCATTGTCAGCTTCAAAATTTTTAATTTAGAGTTTATCTTCTCTTAGACTTGCTTCGTTAGTCCTGGGTATAACGATAAACTCCATCCGGCATTAAGGCCTCTGATCGGGAGATTGGAAGTTTTGACGAGTGTGGAACCACCTCTTAATTGCTGTTGTTCCCAGGTCCACCCTAACCCGGGGTGGTTGCACCTGTTAGGGTCACAGGTATGGGCAAATAGTGAAACCCCAAACAAAACCTAAAGTATAAAAATACATGCAATACATTATTATATAAAAACATGATCAACAATATAAAATTGTGTACAAAATATTTAGAATTCGGCATTAAATAACCCACAGAGGTGTTGATATGCAGCCTAACAAAATCAACCAACGAAATAACCAATATGAAAGAACTCTTTCATGACATTAATCCATATAATATCCAACAATTTCTTAAAGAAATCAAACTCTATTCCAAAATATAATTTCAACAAAACTACAACATATAACCGCCTCTAGCAATTACATCTACACAAACATGTATATGCACA